ATACATGATCTGAGAGATATGGGAGAGAGCAACGCCGTCATCAACCGGCGCGGATCTTTGAGAAGAGACACGCTCATTGCAGCCAGTGCTATTTACGAAGGTGAGCCTAAGCAGAGCAAGATGGACTGCAGCTCGTAGCCTCGTTGTTCTGACGTTTCCAGTTTCATGGCTCAGCTCTCCACACAAGCCCAGAGGTGGACGACATGGTGCCAGCTACCTTTGCTAACATCTACTTTGTAAGTCGTGCATCCAGCCAGCTATTACAACCGAGCTGGGCTCGGTCAAGCTGACGTACACCGAACACAATGATCCCAGATCGGATGGAAGCCAGCCCCTACTCAAGCGCAACCCCTCAAGCGAGGCAGCGCAACAGACAGCCTCAAGGACGCCCTCGCGGACCAGGAAGTAGGCAGCGAGAAAAAGTAGCTAAGCTTCTTGATACATGCTACGAATAAGATCTAGAGCATTTGGAAAAGAGTGTCCCTGCTTCTCGGAGTGCGACTGCACACTCCGCAGCGGCTGGTGACAGTGGCATCTTGATTGCTTGGCTCGCACATTCAGCGCAATCTCATTCATGAAGGCACCTTCTCAGCGTAAGCAAACTTTTGGTCACGCGAAGTTTTTATCAAACATTCAAATTTCTTGGCTGATCAAGCTTGACATAGAAATCAAATTGACTATCATCATCACCTGTGCCTCCGCTTCACCATTTGCTTGACTGCTTCTGTCAACAAGCCGATCTGCCCCCGCTTAGAGGTCAAGAAACTTGACAGCAAGTAGAAGCCGTACTGCGACACTGATACAAAACTTGCTAGCGTTCAAAGCCGGATGCATCAATCGTTGAGTGACCACAAGACGCTGAGGGAAGGTGAATTTTCTTAAGGTCAAGAGTTTGAGGCTCAACGGGCAGCTCTTGTCAATCTGAGCAAAAGCTTGAATTCCACCAAGCTACACAGTAGATCTCTAGCCAAGGCAAGAAAGCTGTGGTGGTGGCCCTTGATCGGCAGCTGTTGCTTGGCCAGACAAAACTCATGAAGAAGCATCAACAGCTCAATAAAGCTGGAACGCACACGCTGACCAGGCTCCTCCAAATTTGCGAGGGGCGCATTGACGGGGCTTTGACTGTTCAGAGTGGACGAGCCAGAGCGACGTCGAGGGAAACCGATTCTGCGAATGCCGGCGCGTGAGCCTCTGGCACGCACACACACATCAAATTCCGGAAGGGCACATC